GTCGGAGGGTCAGTGCTGAGGGAGCGCAGCACTGTCAGAGGGTCAGTGCTGAGGGAGCGCAGCACTGTCAGAGGGTCAGTATTGAGGGAGCGCCGCACTGTCGGAGGGTCAGTGCTGAGGGAGCGCCGCACTGTCAGAGGGTCAGTACTGAGGGAGCTCCGCACTGTCGGAGGGTCAGTACTGAGGGAGCGCTGCACTGTCGGAGGTTCAGTGCTGAGGGAGCGCCGCACTGTCGGAGGGTCAGTGCTGAGGGAGCGCCACACTGTCAGAGGGTCAGTGCTGAGGGAGTGCCGCACGGTCGGAGGGTCAGTGCTGAGGGAGTGCCACACTGTCAGAGAGTCAGTGCTGAGGGAGTGCTGCACTGTTGGAGGGTCAGTGCTGAGGGTGTGCTGCACTGTCGGAGGGTCAGTGCTGAGGGTGCACCGCACTGTCGGAGGGTCAGTGCTGTGGGAGCACCGCACTGTCGGGGGGTCAGTGCTGAGCGATCGCCGCACTGTCGGAGGGTCAGTGCTGAGGGAGCGCCGCATTGTCGGAGGGTCAGTGATGAGGGAGCGCCGCACTGTCGGAGGGTCAGTGCTGAGGGAGTGCCGCACTGTCGGAGGGTCAGTGCTGAGGGAGTGCCGCACTGTCGGAGGGTCAGTGCTGAGGGAGTGCTGCAGTGTTGATGGGTTGACCCTGTCAACCAAAGATGCTTCCCCCCAACCACTCCCTCATAAACACTGTGGGTGGCAGGGACTTCAGCCGAATCCAACCCATTCCTGCCCTCAATCCTTCCCCTTCCACCCAGATCAACGAGAGAGTTCCCCATGTCATCAGTTTCCACCCACTAGTCTCTGTTTTCAAAGGATAATCTGCACCATTTCTAGTACTTTCAACAGCATGCGACCACCAAACACATCTTCTCTTCCCTCCCCTGCACTGTCAGTATTCTATAAGAACCATGCTGTCCATGATCCCCTGGTCCAAACCCTCCATCATTCCTAACACTTCCTCACTCCCCCATGGGACCTCCCCATGCAATCACAGAGGTGTAACTCCTGCCCTCTCCCCTCCTCCCTCCCCACTGTCCTTTCAATCTGGTCGACTGCCTTCACTGCTCACAACATGGTCTTCTTTACATTGTCGAGAGCAAACACAGATTGAGTGACTGCTTTGGCGAACACATCTGCTTTGTCTGTGGGAATGAGCCCAACCTTCCAGTTGTTTACCATATAAAACCCACCTTGTTCCCATGTTAGTGTTTTCATCCAGGCCCTGCTGTAGTGTTTTGGCCAAGTCCAGTACAAGCTGGAGGAACTACACCTCATTTTGCACTTTGGCACCTGAGAGCCTTAGATCTCAATATTGAGTTCTACAACCTTAGAATATGAACGCTGTCTTCTATTTTGTTTCCAGCTCTTTGCCCTGCCCAACCCCAAAATCTTGTTTCTGTAGGTTTCTTGTGAGCATTGACACCCTACTTTCAACATTTCTCATGTATCATTGACACTTTTTTTATACCTACATCACTCCTTAACCACCATTAGAATGACTTTTGTGTTTTTGTCTGGGCACCCTCACCATTTGTTGCACCCGCTCCTCCTCCACCAAATGCGCACACACACACACGCACACACACACACGCACACACGCACACACGCACACAGCCACACACACACACAGACACACAGACACACAGACGCACACACAGACACACATATACACACACAGACACCACAAAGACACACCACCCCATCAACAGTGTTAAAACCATCATTTTCCAGCTCCCTTCAGTTCTATAGAAGTAGCATTCGACTTGAAAGGTTAATTCTGTTTCACTCCACAGATGCTGCAAGACCTTCTGAGTTTCTCCAGCACTTTCTGTTTTAATTATTGATTAAAACTTTTCTTTATTGTCTCTGTTTTAAGATCAACCCAAGGCCCCCCATACAGCAAGATGCTTGGTGCCAGAAGATGCTGGACAGTGTCCTGTTTTATCGCAGACTAGTATCAGACATGCAGCCCACTCACACAGCACAGATACTGATGCTGCAGGCACAGCAGAAAGCCCAATCACCCACTCTCTGACTGGGCACAGAGCACATTACAGTCCTGTGGAGCACTCCACCCCACTGAGCTCACACAGCCAGCATGGGAAGCTGCAGTCTTATCCCTCCATCAACAGCCACAGCAGCAAGAAGAGTAAATCCAGTTCCAGGTCAACGGCATCTCAGATCCCATCTGACGCAGAGGAAGGTGAGTCCAACCTCCTGCTGTTTGTACTAATGTAACAACCTGTCTCAGTGACATTCATAATGTAACTCTCAATAAGAAGAATAATAACACAGACTAATGGAGCCATCAGATGGGCTGAATGGCCTTTTCCCATTGTCTATTAAATAAACAATGTTATATCCCCAGCCATATCCCATTTCTGGGGTTTACCGTGGCTGTCGTTGGTACATATTTACAAGGGTGAACAGGTGATGATGATAGGAATGGTTGATCAGAAATGCTGATCCTGATCATTATCTGGAAATCACCAGGTCCTGTCGCGACAGTGTATCCATCTGAATTTCCCAAAAGGACACAATTGGGAGTTTCTGTGATGTTCTTCAGGAAGGAGCAGGGGGATAAAGGGAATGTTAGACCCTTTCGCAAGGCGCCAGAAGCAGGGAAAATGCTAGAACTTTTTATAAAGGACATGACTACTCATTATCTGATCAGACAAAGTCAACATGGATTCATGAAGGGAAATTAAGTTTGATAACCTTGATTGTGCTTTTCAAGCATGTAACTTGCAGTGTCAATAAGGGGGAGTGAGAGAATGTGGTGAATTTGTGTTTTCAGAAGGCTTTTGATAAATTCCTATCCACCTTTAGTAAACAAAGACCACATGAGATTGGAGGTAGTAAATCAGCACAGAATGAGGATTAGTTAACAAACAGAAAGCAGAGATAGGCAGATATTGGCAGGCTGTGACCAGCAGGGAGTAGTACTGGGGCATTATATCAATGATATGGATGTGGGGATATGGGTTCTTGTGGTTCAGTTCTTGTGGTAGTCTCCTTACATCTTGATCAGAAGCCTGTGTAGAAGTCCTGGCTGCCTCAGAGGTAGGTCATAACACATCGGAACAGGCTGACTCCAAATACCGGGATGTGTGGGATGTCATTTAAATTAATATTTCTAAATTTTCAGACGATACAAATCTGCCGGGGTGTATGAGTTATAAGGAAGATGAAGAGAAGCTGCAAGGGGATTTAGACAGGCTGAATGAATAGGCAAGAGCACAGCAAACTGGATATTACATGGATAAGTGTGAGGTTCTCCAGTTTGGTTAGAGGACAAAGGGGCAGAGTATTTCTTAAATGGTGAGAGGTTGGAAAGTGTTGATGTCCAAAGCGACTTTGGTGTCCTTGTTCATTCCTCAGTGAAAGCTACATACAGGTGCAGCAAGCAATTCAGAAGACAAACAGTCTGTTAGCTTTTGTCACAAGAGGATCAGAGTACAGGAGCAGAGAAATCATCCTCCAATTCTGTGGAACACTAGTGAGACTGCACCGGGAGTATTGTGTGCAGTTCTGGTCCCCTTGTCCAGGGAAGGTTATACTTGCCCTAGAAGGAAAGAGGTTCACCAAATTGATTTCTGGGATGGTGAGACTGTCCCATTGGGAGAGATTGAGGAGACTGGGTTTACATTCTCTGAAGTTCAGAAGAATGAGAGGCAATCTCACAAAATTGCAACTTACTTACACAAAATTCTTAAGGAGGTATCAGGGCTGACACAGAAAGCATGTTTCACCTGGCTGTAGGGTCTAGTACCAGATATACAATCTCAAAATAAAAGCTCGGCCATTTCAGATACAGATGTGGAGGAATGTCTTCACTCAGAGGGGAGGGGGTCTTTGGAATTCTCTACCACAGAGAGAGGTGGAGTCTCAGTCATTGAGTATGTTCAAGATGAAGTAATTAGACTCCTAGATATAAATGAGATGCAGAAGCATGCGGTTAGCACAGGATAATGGCCATGAGGTAGATGATCAACTACGATCTAGAAAGGTAAAGGGGCTGAATGGTCTACTCATGCCCCTTTCTCCTATTACCATGTTGGAGCATGATCAACACTCAGTTATCAGGCTATTCAAATGAAATTTGGAACTGAAGCTGAAAATATTAAAACTGAATTGTTTGTGAGATAATAACTTCAAACTGCAATCCCCGAAGAATCTCTTCTTCAAGTTGTTTAACAGAGAGTTCCTGGTGCCCCAGTAAAGATCAATGCCACTCATGTGATCTGGGCTTTATCCAGCTGAGAACAAATTGCTCTTGGGTGGGCAATATGGGACAGTTACTGCTGGCCACAGCTCCCCCATCCCTCTGAGTTCATGAGGAAGAACAAAACAAGGTGGCTGTGGTTGTATGATCTGCTGTGAATTCAAACTGGCCAATTCTAGGAAACGTTCACCACTGGAAAATTAAGCTTTGGAGCTCGTCACAGTCTGAGTTGGATGTAGAACAGGCTGCCAGGGAGGGAGCAGACTCAATCCCAGATTTATGCTCAGTTTATGTGATGTCACTAAGGATGCATGCTACTAGCTTCTCTGTGAACTCAAGGGAAGTGAATAATTAGCCAATGGTCCTGCTGATGATCCCTGTTAGAGAGAGAAAGAGAGGGCAATTTAGTCAGGATTCCTGTTCGTGAACTTGCCAGTCAGTGCTGTTAGATGTTAGTTTAGGGTAGGATTGGATTTAGCTCTGACCTTTTTTGTTGTTGTCTGGATATCTGTTTTAAGCATACTGATCTGAATCTAATTGAAAAGCCATAACATTCTTCCTCTCTGTCTCTGTCTGTGTGTAGATTGCTGTGTTCACTGTATCCTGGCCTGCCTTTTTTGTCAGTTCCTCACCCTGTGCAACCTTGTGTTAGACTGTGCGACTTGTGGAACCTGTGCCTCAGACAGCTCCTGCTGTTTCTGCTGTGGCTCGGAGGAATGTGGGCCGTGTGACTTGCCATGTGATCTGGATTGTGGCATCGTGGATGCTTGCTGTGAATCAGCAGACTGCCTGGAGATCTGCATGGAGTGTTGTGGCCTCTGCTTCTCCTCATAACTGTGAATCACGGCAATCCAGATGGGCTTCAATGGGAACATGGCACAGTTGTTGGTTTTGCTCAGACTCAGAGACTCTGCAGCCAATGGAGGGAATGTCCTCCAGGCCAAGGAAAAGTGTATGAGAATCCCAACTCTGAAAGCTAGTATTGCCAGGACTGGAAGACAAGACATAAGTCACAAAGACATTGTCGGCATCGCCATCAGTTCGTTCAGATATCATGTTAAAAACCATGATCTTCAGACACTTCAAACTCCAAAGGTTTTTGTGGGTCAGTTTATTTTGTTCCCCTTCACCTGCTCAGATCGTGCCCCCCCGCCCCCACCAGTGGTATCCCATGTTGAAACTGCTCTTCAGTCCTTGATCCCAGTCCTGCATTCTACAGGAAATGCAGAATAAGGGGAAAGTGGCAGTGGGTCGAGGTGATACTCTGGGGAGGGTGGCAGTGGGTCTGGGACGATAGTCTGGGGAGGGTGGCAGTGGGTCAGGGACGATACTCTGGGGAGGATGGCAGTGGGGTCAGGGACGATAATCTGGGGAGGGTGACAGTGGGTCAGGGGCGATCTCTGGGGAAGATGGAAGTGGGTCAGTGGTGATACTCTGGGGAAGGTGGCTGTGGGTCGGGTGGAGACACTGGGGAAGGTGGGTCAGGGGCAATACTCTGGGGAAGGTGATAGTGGATCAGGGGGAAATGCTGGGGAAGATGAGAATGGGGATGGGGAGCACTCTGGGAAAGGTGGGAGTGGGGATGGGGAGC